CCCTTCAGAGATTTTAGGCTTTCCCATGCAAACTGCTTTGGCTCACAGAATATGTGTGAAGTGACAGTGTGCCATTTCATTCAGCCCTCTTGTGCTGATGTCACTTGACATGACAAGAACATGCATTAGGGGCTTCTGAGCCCAGGAGAGTGAGACAGATCGCAGGGAGCAAACCTGAGCTATACCCTGGAGCCAGGCTGACCTGCTGCCTGGAGTATATTGACCTGCTTGGCCTCTAAACTCGTGCGAAATTAAATATATGCTTGTTGTAGGCCACCAAGTTTTGGGGAAGTTTGTTACAGAGCATTATTATAGCAATAGATGACTAATACAAAGACCAAAATGCAGAAGCAAAGAGAAAAAGAGTCAATGAAGTAGATGGCTGACGCATAAGGGAGGAAGGAAGGAAGTGGTGGTGGGTTCTGAACAAAGAGCAAGTAGGAAAGGGCCTCCAAGGAGAACAAGGAGAAGATGTGAGACAAGGGGGACTATGGCTGCAGCTCCTTTCGGTGTTGGGATGGGCAGTGGCACGGAGATGTGTGCCGTGCATGCACACGCACGCGCACACACACACACACTGTTCCTCTGTGCCTTTTGGGAGCCCTCCTGGACCTTTCTGGTGTCATTGTTCAGCGTTGTCTGAGAGGTTTCCAGGGAGTAGAAGTTTGATTCCTAGGAAGGTTTAGACTTCCAGTTGTAGGGTCTCTCTGGGCTCATGGTTGCAATAATGGCAAGGCGAGGCACGTGAGATCTCAGGTCTCCCCTGTAGGGGGCACTAGCTCCCTCCCCCCAAGATGGGAAATGCACTAACTTTAAGCAGGAACCGGCCCTCCAAAGAACACATACCCGGTATGAGCTGGATCTGTAACGTCTTGTGATTTTGGGGAGGCTATTTCATCTCTCCACACTGAGAGTTAGAGATGATGGAAATAGTAACAGGACCTACCTGAAGGCTTGTCCTGAGGTGTGAGAGACAGTGACACGATCTGGTGCAGAGTGAGGCCTTCCATACATTAATTAATCAACGACCGTGCTGCCATTTTGTAAAAAGAACCGATATCCAGTGTTCAGTAAGGCATTGGCATATCTTGTTTTTCTGAGCCTAGATGTTGAATAAAGACAGGAGTTCCACCCCATGGTCGGTAACACCTGACCGAGTCCAGAACTCTCGCTGGCAATACTCTTGAGTGGAAAGCCATTCTCCCACCATTTACTACCTTATTCTTCAGCCCACATCAGTCAGTCCACTTGCTTTGTTCTCCCATTTCTCTTTTTCTCAGGGAAGTCTATTTATTCTTAGGCTTGTAGAGGGAAAAAGGGTGGAGGTGGACCTGAAAGAGCAGATGGGAGAGCTCAGTAGGATGGCCTCTTCTTACCACCAGCTTGGGCTGCGGGCAGCATTATTTTCTAGTAGGCTCTTCCACCAAGAGCTGGGTGACCCCTCTGTCATACCCCTGGTTTGTAAAAAGGTTCAGACGACCCTTGTCACAACTTCAGCTGGGGTATTTTTAGCTAGACTGTTCTCTGAACACCAACTTGCATTTATTTTCCTAATCTGCTGTATATGATTGTTCTAGTTCTGTCTTGTACGCTCCTTTTCCAGGGAAGAGTTTCCCAGATCAGTGGGCTCCCTGCCCAGCCATTTTTACATTTTTTCTTAGAGTTTGGGTAGAGAAGCCCATCTGCCCCAGAAGGCATTTGGTTCCACCAGTCAGTCCTTCCAGAGGCTCTTCATCCTTGGTTCAGGTTCAATACCTGAGTGGGGACCCAAGGGTATTTAGCAGCCCTCTTCACAGCACTTATGGTGAGCAGAGTAAGGGGGATGACCTTCCTCCCTCCTCAAAGAGCCTCTTGCTCTTCAACAACTTGCAACAATGAAAATTACTTCTGTTGTTTTCTCTCCTCTCTCCTTTCCCAAGAGAACAGGCCAAATGCTGTTCAGTTCCTCTTGCATCAGATTTGAGTTTGTACTTCATTATAGAAATCAGTCGTAGAAGGAAATGCTCTTAACAAAAGCGCACACTTATTGGCTTCTTACCATGTGCCTGGCGTTCTAAGTGCTTTACATGTATTTATGCATTAATCCTCTCAATTACCTTGTGGAGTGGGTGCTATTATTATCCCCCTTTACGGATGAGGAAACTGAGTCTCGTAGCAAAAGATGAGTAGCTTGCCCAGAGGTGCACAGCCCCCCCCCCTCCATCCCCCTTTTTCCTTCCCTTCATCTTCTCGCCTCCCGCCTCCCACCTCCCCTCCCGCCTCCGAGGGAGCTGGGGAATTCTTTCCATACAGATCAGCCTCTGGAAACAGAGCAGGGTGGGGAGAGGACTTGGAGGGGCAAAGGGACGATATGAGGATACATGGCTTTGCCTCCTTCTTCCACTGAGGGATCTGCAGGGACCATTCCACGTTGGGATATTCAAAGAATTACACAACAACTCCATCAAATCCAGCCGTCTCCCTTCTGAATCTATAGAGAATAGGCCTTGCATTCGCTGCTGTCCTTACTCTGTGTGTCTGTTTTACAGATTGTAAATGTTATATATATATATTTTTAAATCTTACTAATTTCTTTATGTTACTCTGATATCCAGGCCAAGGGGATTTTTGTGCTTCTGGGTACAAGCATCACCCCGGGCCTCTCCCGGGCAGGCTGGCAGCCTACGATGGGAATGGCGATGGCCTGGCTGGTACTGAGCCGGCAAATGGCCCCTCTCCCTGCTGAGAGCACATGCTAAGAAGGCTCTTACAGAGTGATGAGGCTCTCGGCTCTGACTCTAGAGAGCCAGGGCTTACACTCCAGCTTTGCCAGTTACTAACTGGATTAGCGCTTCACCCCCTTGAGTCTGTCTTTCCTTATATGGAAACCGGGGATGGTTCTTACAGCCCTTTACTATTGTAGGGATTCAACGAGATCATGAATGTAAAGAGATTGGTATATCATAGGCACTCACCTGGGGAAGGGGCTGCGTTGTACTCACCTTTGAACCCCTGTGCCTGGCACAGTGCCTGACATCTGGAAGGCGCTTGGTAGCTGTTTCCTGACCTGAACCGATGGTGAGGCTCTTTGAGGACTTGGGTGCTGGTAGTGTTAGCAGGTTCGGAAGTAACTAATGCGCGCTCTCTCTCTCTCTTTCTCTTTCGCTCTCATCTTTGCCAGGCCCCCTTGCCTACCACTGAAGGCTTTGGAAGGTCATTGTGTGTCATTAAGCCACTCAACGCCCGTTCTCCCAGCGCCCTCTTTGTCTGAGGCCCTGAGACCTCTCAGCCTGAAGGCACAGTAGACTCTCGGGCGCCTTGAATTTTCCATGGCCTGGTTTACACTGCCCTCTGCTGTGTGCTTATGGGACAAGCATGTTCAATGAGGGTTTGTGGTGACATTTTCTTGACATTGATTGGGAGAGGCTCCCCCATACTGGCTGCTTGCAATGCTGTCGGAGGGAGAGGCAATGTCTAAGACCTCCTCCCCAATTTAGCTTGCAACTCCTGAGGCTTACCAAACTCAAGAGGCTTTTTACCAACGTCCCTGACCACTCAGCCTTCAGACCTTTCTAGGATCAGATTTCTTAGGTATTTTGTGTTTGGCCTTGGCCAAAAGGAACAGGGTAGAGTTTATTTGATACTATTCCCCGTCTGCTGTCTAGTTTCTTCTGAATCCCTGGGCACCTGATTCTTAGAGCTGCCCCAGTTGCTGTTAAGGGTCTGGGGTCACAAAAGACATCTGAGCCAAGTGAGAACCGGTGTGGACCCTCTCTACCTGCCTCATGAACCTTTCTTACACCACCCCACCTTCTGTTGGCTATCCCTTCCCAGAGCTGATCCCAGGCCATGAACACAAAATGGGGTCCTGCATGTCAGAGTGGGGAATTGGGGGCTAAAGACCAGGCCACGCCCCCCCTTGACCTCAGAGTAGAACCTGCTAGAAATGTACACCAAAGCTGCAGTGGAGGTCCCCCCTGATGGCCAGCACAAGTCACCAGACATATGAATGAGGAAGCTCCAGCCACCTGCTGACAGCAACTGTATGAGAGACCCGCACACATGATGGGTTAGCCTAGCCAGCCTCCAAGAATCAGGAGATAATCATAATGATAGCTGCTTAAAGCCACAGAGTTTGGGGATGATTTGTTATATAGCAATAGGTATGCAGAAAAAGTGACTTAAGACTGTGGGATCCTGGGTATCAACACTACTTTTCTATGTTTTCCAAGATTTGTACAGTGACCACTTCTTTTATAATCAGTAAAAAATTGTTATTAAAAATAAAATCATGGTCTAATTTCCCCCTCCACTTCACCAAGGGAGAAACTAGGTCTGAATTTGAATTGAGGGACATAAGCCAGACTTGGAGAAAAATTTTCCATGCAAGATTAATTAGATGCTGGAAGGAATCAGAGATACATTCGCGTTGGTATGATGGAAAGAGTGGTAGATTTGGAGTGAGAAAGCTTGGAAATGCATCCTGGTTTTCTCTCTCTCTCTCTCTCTCTTTTTTTTTTTTTTTTTGGGTGACCTTGAGCAAGTCCTTGCTCAAATTCGGCTTTCTATTTTGAAAAATGCAGCTGCTTAGGGAAGATAACATCCAGCAGGGCGCCTGGCCCAGAAAAGTGGTAGGTGACCCTGCCTAATCAGTGCCAATTAGGAACAGACATCTGCAAGCTTTGTGGACGGCCCATCCTTCACTGCCACCCGAGGCTACAGTTCCAATAATGAAATCGGCCTGGAGAAAACCCACAACTCTTCAAAAAAAAAAAAAAAAAAAAAAATCCAGAAACACGGAGCAGCTTTTCTAGCAGCCCTTACCGGAGCCACCGTCCCCTCTAGCTAGGGCGGGTACGTTGCCCTTCGGGGGACCCAGACCCGGCGCCTGCGGGGGAGGGGGACCGGGAGCGCGCCTGACGCGGACGCGGAGGCCGGGGCGGGGTGGGGACCGGGAGCGCGCCTGGCGGACGCAGCGCGGGGGCGCGGGTGTCCAGGCAACCCCGGACGCGCCTCCGCAGGCGGGGAAGCTGGCGGCCCCGCGGCGGTCTGGCCCTCCGCTCGGGTTCCTAGCCAGCCCCGCGGCCGGCAGTTCGGTTGCCAGTTGGTGCGTTGGTCTTGCTGCATCGTGTGGAGGCCTCCTCTGGGGGAAAAGGTGCAAGACCCGGAGGTGGAAAGGGAAGGAGCACCTTGGGAGGGGGCGCGACAGTGAGTGTGGGCGGCGGAGAGAACCCACGGGAACCCCGGGGGCATCCCGACCCAGAAAAGCCCGAGGAGAGGGTGGGAGGGAAGTTCTGATCAAGATGTCAACCCTGCCCTCTTTGACTTTCAATGGCTTGTGGACTTTCTCTTGGTTTTCATTGATGCCTTTCTTACAAAGGTCTTTTCTTTGTCTCCGAGTTGCTTTTAATACTCAAAACCGACAACACATGCATGGGTGAGACCGTGTACGCTGGAAACGGCCCCCGGGGCTGTTATCTCCCCTCCATCTCCAGAGCACCCTGCAGCAGAGAGCTGGAGAAGGTTCAAGAGAGAGGAGACCCTGGCATGACAATGATGGAGAAGAGATACAGTTGAGTTGAAGAAATCAGAAGGGCTGGGTGTGCATTTGGTCGTCAGATCCGAGTGTACCAGAGCCGGGAAGTTCAAACTACTTAACGTGTAAAGGGAGGCCAGTTTACAGGCTTATAAAAAGAACTCCTTGAATGGTAGCTTATGTCTGTTTTAACCCAAGATCTGATGAAGCAGATAGCAGTTCAAAAAGCAGAGATTCTCACAAATTATGTGCTTGGATCTCATAACAGCCCCAGAGGTATATTACTAATGAGCAAAGAAAGCCAGGGGCACCTGAGTGGCTCAGTCCGTTGAATGTCAGACTCCTGATTTTGGCTCGGGTTAGGATCTCACTGTTGGTGGGATCAAGCCCCACACAGGGCTCCGCATCAGTGCAGAGTCTGCTTGGGATTCTCTCTCTCCTCACTCTCTGCCGCTCCCCTGCTTGTGCCTCTTTCTCAATCTCAAGATAAATACATTTAAAAATAGAGTAGGGGCGCAGCGGAGCCAGATTTTTGACCTGCCCAGTGCTACCATCAATAAATGGTAAATCTGAGGATTGACCACAGTCTTCTGGTCCCCAAAGCCTGTGTCCTTTAAGTTTTTCTTTGCTCCTATATTAGATTTGTGGCACTGTTTATTGGATGGGGCAGCTCGGGTGAAAAGTATGAACACTTTAAGGAGAGGCTTAAATTAAAATAATGGATAGTGGCTCCTTAATTGGTTTTGAAGGCTGAGGAGGATGTTAGGGGCACATTGCCTTTAGAGAAGAGAATCACAAACCACAGTCTCTGAGAAAACCTTGGAATGAATTTAGGCCTAGGCTGGCCTGTATAGATGAATGGCCTGAATGCTGCAAAAAGGGAACATTGTAGAATGTTCTGTCTGTGCCCCATCAGATCATATCTTGGTCCTCGGTCCTTTGTATTACAGATCCTCTCTCTCCTTATTCTCTTTCACAAGTGCACGGAGAGGGGGGAGGTACGACTTACCATACCCACCTGTAAGCGGGGACCAGAAGGGCAGGAGTTACAACCCAAGGTGCCCAGTGTTGCTAGGTCAGCAAGGAGAAGAAGGTTTTGGGATTCTAACTTTAAGCTCTAGACTCTTCTGCAGTTTCCATGTTGGGCTCAGGTAACAGAGGGAGCTGCTGTTTTAAAGGTGGGGGAGAGAGGGTTCATGTTTCTGAGTTAGGGGCACGGAAAGAGCACCAGACTCTGAGATCCTCAGATCACATTAGCCAGAGATCCATGACTTCCTTTCCTGCTGTGTGGGTGTGTCCACTCAGGAGACCATATCTGAACTCCACTTTACATGGCATCCGGGAGTTTTGGGAAGGAAGGAGCTCCACAAACCAGTTGAAGATGAATATGAAATTGTGGATGTATATGCATTTTTCCAGCAAGTGGGTGTCCATTGCTTTCGTGACTTCCCAGGAGAGTCTGTGATCCAAAGAAGGGTTAAAAACCACCGTCTTAGACCCTTGGGTTGTTTGTGGAGCAGATAAGCAGGGGTGAGCAACTGAGTGGTTAAAAGGTAACCACATGAAGCTAACTTGGCTTGATGTATTATTTTTCTCCCTGCCAGACCATGCTATTGTGTAAATCAGCTGTGATGACAAGTATGCGAAGTGCCTTGGTTATGTAAGGTGCTATTCCTGCCTAAAGAAATGGAAATAATTAGCGTGGATTCCACAGATGGTACCAAAGAAACAGACTTTCTTCTAAACTCTCCATTTCCCCCTACATTCCTATCTACTCGCCAGAACCTTCTCTCGGTCCCTTCTGTTGATCATCTTTTCTTATATCATAGTGTTTTAGCAACTTGTTAGAGTTTCCTATCTTATGGCTTCCTGGACATTGAATTTGAGTGACAATTATCATGCTAAATGATGACATTCTCAAGAAGCGAGTGCCTTAGCTTCTTTGTATCATCTCAGCCTGGTGAGCTAGAGGGAGGTGGGGCAGGTGTTGGGAGCTGGGCTAGAGAGGTAATTGACTTACTTGAGGTAACTAGATGTCACCTTACGCATCACTGTCAGAAAAGAAGGGGTCAGACTTGAAATTCCAGCCCTTTCTACTTGAGATGTGAAGAGGCAGCCAGAGGCCACGTTTAAGTGTCTCCAGGTTGTATTTGAGACTGAGTTACTTCTGGGAAGGTCCTGCAGTACATTGGATTTGGAGGAAGTGCCTTTTGCCTGTTTAGCAGGGAGACTGCTCTTCCTATCCTTGCTTGTCAGACAAGCCTTCCCTGCCAAAGCAGCCACAGGCTACTTTCTAGAGAGCTGCCAACACAAAACTTCTTCAGCAAACAAGGAAATATGCTAAATTTGTAGATGTTATTTCACTGCTTGCCACTCAGGGTTATATAATATATTTAAAAATTTCCCCTAAAATAAAAAAAATCCCAAAAAACTTGTGATGCTATTCATAGCAACCAATTCTTGCTTTGGTGAACTCTCAAGTCCTCTGGTGGCAAAGATACAATTAGAATGTTTATTTGCTATGAAAATGTAGCCAGGGGCAAAAATTATTTTATTAGTTTATTTATTTGTTTACTATTTATTTATTTTTTTATTTATTTTTTAATGTTTAGTTGAGAGAGAGAGAGTGAGCAGGGGAAAGACAAAGAGAGAGGGAGACACAGAACCCGAAGCAGGTTCCAGGCTCTGAGCTGTCAGCACAGAGCCCGATATGGGGCTCGAACTCATGAACCATGAGATCATGACCTGAGCTGAAGTTGGTCACCTTAACTGACTGAGCCACCCAGGCACCCCTTGTGGCAAAATTTATTATAAGTAAATGCTACAATAAATAACTCAGAGCTTACATATGATTATCAATCTAGAAGGTATCTCTGCATTGGCTCTTATTTCTTCTCTACATATGTGGATCCTTTCTACATCTTTATAGATACATTTCATACCTTTTTCACAGATATGTTTCTGGAAATAGAACCGCTGGATCAAAAAGTGTGCTTCTCACAGACTTTGGAGGATGCATATGGCCAAAGTGCTTTTTAGTAAGAAGGAGACATTTTTTAAAATGTTTTTTATTTATTTCCGAGAGAGAGAGAGAAACAGTGTGAGCAGGGTAGGGTCAGAGAGAGAGGGAGATACAGAATCTGAAGCAGTCTCCAGGCTCTGAGCTAGCTGTCAGTACAGAGCCCAATGCAGGGCTCGAACCCACGAACCACGAGATCATGACCTAAGCGAAAGTCGGACGCTTAACCGACTAAGCCACCCAGGCGCCCCCATGATGGAGACATTTCTATCAGCAACATATAAGAGTGCCATTCCTCCAACCTATGCCAATCTTAGGTTTTTGCAGACTCATAGCAAATACTGGTATTGTCTTAAATTCAGCTCTTTGATTATTATGAAGTGTGCATTTCCTCCCCCCCTCTCCAAATGTATATTGGCTGTTGTATGTGTATGTTTAATTCATTACCTAATCATGTCTTTTAACCATTTTTTTCCCCTTGGGTATTTATTGTCATCTTATAAATTTATAGAGACTTACAATTTGGCATGACTACTAACTCTTTTTCTTGTGTATTGCTATGAACTTTCCCCCAGTTTATAGTTTGCTATGGAGCTTTAAAATTTTTTTTAAATGTTTGTTTATTTTTGAGAGAGAGAGAGAGAGAGAGCGTGCACAAGCAGGGGAGGGGCAGAGAAAGAGGAGACACAGAATCCAAGGCAGGCTTCAGGCTCTGACCTGTCAGCACAGAGCCCAACCCGGGACTCGAACCTGAGCAATGAGATCATGACTTGAGCCAAAGTCTGACGCCCAACCAACTGAGCACCCACACGCCCTGCTATGGAATTTTTAAATGGATGTTTTCCAATCATGCATCTTTTCCTTTATTTTGCCTGCATTTGATATCTTTCTTAGAAATAACTTCCCCAGTCTAAGATTATATAAACATTGAATTATCATTTTCTTTTCAGGTACATCTTTTATTTTAATTCTGTTATTCAAATGTAGAATTCATCTGGAATTTATTTGGGGATTAGTTAATTACTTTTATTTTCATTTCAAATGATTAGTTGTTTCAGCAATATTTTTGAATAATCTATTCTTTTTAAAATTTTTCTTTTTTTTTTAATGTTATATTTATTTCTGAGAGAGAGAGACAGCATGAGCAGGGGAGGATCAGAGAGAGAGGGAGACACAGAATCTGAAGTAGGCTCCAGGCTCTGAACTGGTGTCAGCACAGAGCCCGATGCAGGGCTCGATCCCATGAACCGCGAGATCATGACCTTAGCCAAAGTCTGACGCTTAACTGACTGAGCCACCCAGGCGCCCCATGAATAATCTATTCTTTTCCTCATGACATGAAATGCCACTATTCTGTACAATTTTATTCTATCTACATTTTTCTATCTTGTTCTCTTGATCAATCTGTTAGGGTCACTGTCAGTACCATCTTGATTATGCGACATGAAACTACATTTTATAAATTATACTCTATAGCTCTGTTACTTTGAACAAGTTATTGGACATTTCTGACCCTCAATTTCTTTATGCATAAAGTTATTTCTATTCTACTTATAATTATGGTATTGCGTTGCTAATCCTGTTTACTTGTGTTAAGAATTGGTTTTTCTTGAACTTCACTTACCTATATTATTGGTTCTTTCCACAAAGCCATGATTCTGATAATCTTCTCTATTTCATACATTTCTGCTTTTATTTTTATGATATCCTTTTTTATCATTTTGAGGAGTTTATTATTTTTTTCCCTTATTTCTTACATTGCAAGGTTAGATGACTAATTTTGGAATCTTTGTTTTTTAACTACCTGTCAATTCTAAGTTGGACATTTTTCCGAGTTTGAACATCTTTGAGGTGGGTCATTCTTATAAGAGCTGTGGACGCAGCAGCAGGTGTGAAGAAGTCATTATAAGCTTTGCTGAATGGGCACTGAATAATAGAGAAGATGTGTCTGTATCTTGGAAGAAACTTCCAGAGTCAATCGAGGAACACTTATTTAAGAAGTGTTGCATCACGCATGTTCTTGTTGGTCAGTTTAGGTGGAAAATGTGGACATCAGTGATTGAGTTGAAAAGTGATTCAGTAACCAGACTTTCAAATGGAAGGTTTAAGAAGGCCTTAATGAGGGGCACCTGGGTGACTCAGTCAGTTGCCTGTCTGACTCCTGGTTTTGGCTCAGGTTGTGATTTCACACGGTTTGTGGGATCGAGCCCTGCATTGGGCTCTGCACTGACAGTGTGGAGCCTGCTTGGGATTCTCTCTCTCCCTCTCCCTTTAACCCTCTCCTGTGTGCTCTCTCTCTCAAAATAAATAAGCCTAAAAAAAAAAAAAGAAGGCCTTAACCAATTATTTTGCTCATATTTTCCTTCTTTAAATATGTATTTGAATGATATGTACTTAAAATCTACATCTAAGTAAGTCTGAAAGAATGCTTCAATAAATATATAATAAACACTCTAAGTGATAGAGTATTCTGTCATAGTTTAATTGGCAGCCTTTGTTCTTTGTGGTACATAAGATAATAATGTTATTACAACTGCTGGTGTCTTGTATTCGATGGAATACAGCATGTGCATTTCAGGCACTAGTTTCTACTCACTGCTTTACTTGAGTCCCACAAGTCTGATTTATTGTACTTATGTATTGACCATTAAGCACCTCATGATTCCCGTCACGATTTCTTCTTTTATATGAAATATTTGGAAGTGCGGTTTGAGTTTCCAAGCTCATGGATGTCTTTGGCTTTCTTTTTATTATTGATCTCTAAAATTGGTTTGCACTGTGGTCAGAGAGTGTAGTCGATGTTACATTTGTTGACACTACTTTTATGGCTTGTAGGTGGGTGGTTACTCCTTTGGCTGCTGGGAACCTGTGCTCTCCTCTTCACAGCTCTGTGTCTTTCTCAACCCCTCCCCTGAGCTCCGCTCCATCCCAGCTCCTCACACCTCAGGCAACCGGTTGACCCTCTTTACACCTAGGGCTGTACTAGGTGCTGTGGCATGTTCCAGAATGGCTCTTCCTATCCCTGGGTGGCTCTGAGACTCACCTGAGGTGCTTCTTTTAAAAAAAATTTATTTTAATGTTTTTTATTTATTTCTAGGAGAGAGAGATAGAGACAGCGTGAGCAGGGGAGGGTCAGAGAGGAGGGAGTCACAGACTGAAACAGGCTCCAGGCTCTGAGCTGGCAGTCAGCACAGAGCCCGATGCGGGGCTCGAACCCACAAACCGCAAGATCATGACCTAAGCGAAAGTCGGACGCTTAACCGACTAAGCCACCCAGGCACCCCTCACCTGAGGTGCTTCTTTAACATTCTGATCCCCAGATCTTCCCCTGTAGGTCTGGGTTGGAGCCTTGGGATCTGAGCTTTGAGGAAATGCCCCAAGATGATTCTCACGACTGAGTAAATTCGGGTTACTCTATGCGGTTGGGGATCAGGAAGTGGGATGGGATAGAATGCCTTAGTGGAGCTAGACTCGAAGGGGAGGGAAATCACTGCCAAGTGGGAGCCTACAACCTGCAGGGGTATAGGACTTGTTCAAAATGCGGGTTCCCAGGGGTGCCTGCGTGGCTCAGCCGGTTAGACATCTGACCATGGCTCGGGTCATGATCTCACCGTTTATGAGTTTGAGCTCCACATCGGGCTCCGTGCTGACAGCTCAGAGCCTGGACCCTGCTTCAGATTCTATGTCTCCCTTTCTCTCCGCCCCTCCCCTGCTCTCTCTCTCTCTCTTGTTCAAATTTAATTTATTTAAAGATAAGTTAAAGAAATAAAAATGTAAATTTTTTAAGAAATGTGAGTTCCCAGACCTCCCATAGAGAGATTTTGTAATGGGATTTGGGAATCTGTATTTTAAAAAATGTTTTCATTTATTTATTTATTTGTTTATTAATGTTTATTTATTTTGAGAGAGAGAGAGAGAGACAGAATGCAAGCAGGGAGAGGCAGACAGAGAGGGAGACACAGAATCTGAAGCAGGCTCCAGGCTCCTAGCTGACAGCACAGAGCCTGGACATGGGGCTTGAACTCACAGCCGTGACATCATGACCTGGGCCAAAGTCAGATGCTCAACCAACTGATGGCAGTTCTTTGGATTATTCATCAGTCTTTCTATGAATCAATCCTTTGGAAAATTGTATTGAGATGCTCAATACAGCTTGATTCAGAGGTTATCTCTTCCACTTAATTCAAAGTGGGCAAACTACGAAGGGACAAGTAGCACTGTGACTAGGATTTTTGACTTTAGTGTCACAAGAACTGTAATCAAATCTAGATCTAGATGTTTGTTTTCTGTGTGATCTTAGGAAAGTTGCTTAACCATCTGTGCCTCATCAGTAAGATGGAAGAACAAGCAATACTATGTCTGCAGGATATTATGGGAATTTAATTAAATCCCAATTAAATGGGATAATGGTGTAAGATGTTAACATCATCTCCAATTCACAATAAACGCTCAATAAACGTTATTTTTTTAATTTTTTTTTTTGAGAAAGAGAGAGAGCAAGTTGGGGAGGGGCAGAGAGAGAGGGGGACATAGGATCTGAAGCGGGTTCTGTGCTGACAGCAGAGAGCCCAGTGTGGACTTTGAACTCACCAACTGTGATATCATGCTCTGAGCCAAAGTCAGTGCTCAACCTTGCTACCCAGGCGCCCCTACACTTTAGTTTTTTAAAAAATATTTTTTGTAATCTAGGGAACACGATGGCGGGGTAGGTATTTCGTTTCATTAATGAACTCCAACGGTGATGTGTTGCAGGTGATGTTCTGGAACCTAAGGGATGCTTTGCCAGTACAACATCCTCGGACAGAAAGGTCAGCCCCTCGTCTTCTGTTGAAACATGTCCTAGTGTGAGCGAGCCTCCAGGCCCCGGCAAAGTGTCCGTTCACCTAGAGTAAGTAAGGGTCCAGTAAAGACCGTACTGTTGGGGTAAATTCTGACTAGGAAGCCAAGAGAGGTAGAATGACATGTTTGGCAAGAGCATGAATTCTGGAACCAGACTATCTAGGTTTAAACCCCAGGTCTGCCAACTTCATCTGTGTGAACTTGGAAAAATTACGTTACCTCCCTGGGCCTCAGTTTTTTTAATCTACAAAGCAGAGATAATACTTCATAAGATTGTTTTGAAGATTAAATGACTTAATACATGGAAAGTGATTGGAAGACTGCCTGGCACAGGATAAATGTTGTATGGATGCTTGTCATTATCAAGTTGAAAAGCAAGTGAAATTAAGCTGTATTTTTTTGTGGTTGTTTTTGTTTTTGTTTTTTTTTAATTCCATTTTAGACAGTGGGCAGGGAGAGGGGCAGAGGAAGAGATAGAATCCTAATAGGACAAAGCCCAATGCAGGGCTTGATCCCACAATCTGGGGATCGTGACCTGAGCCGAAATCAAGTCAGTCACTCAATTGACTGAGCCACACAGGTGCTCCCCATTTCCTTTTCAAATGGAAATGATTATATGGGTCCTACCTATATCACAGGATTATTAGAAGGGAACAAAAAAGACAAGCATCATGAAGTTGCTTTGAAGCCATTCAACCAGGAGAGTGTTGTAATATTATGAGAAAACATTCCATGATTTGATAACTGATAACTCTGCCTGAAGACCAAGGCCATCTGTCAAATACGAAGCTACTTAAACAAGAAGTGATTGCTTTTACTGCTGAAACATAGTTTATTGTAGGTGTTTTTTTTTGTTTGTTTTTGTTTTTGTTTTTTGTTTTTTGTTTTTTTTAATGGCCGGGAACTTCAGCACGAAACACAATGCTCTGTTATCACAACCATTTCAGCTTTGGTTTGTTTTTTGATTACTTCTTCCTCTTCTCTTTATATTTATTGATTTTTAATGTCCATTTAATGGTTTTATTGAACATGCATATCTTTTGGTAGCAGTTTTTATTGAAACATAATTCACGTACTGTGTAATTCATCCTTTTAAAGGGTGCAGTTCAGTGGTTTTTAGTGTAGTCAACAGAGCTGTGCAACTGTCACCACAATCAATTTTAGAACATTTTCATCACCTCAAAAAGAAACCCATCCTCTTGAGCAGTGATCCTCACTGTGGTCTCTACTCCACCGCCCCACCCCCTCCCAGCCCTAGACACCCACTGATCTACTTTTTATCTCTGGACATTTAATATACGTGGAATATGTGGTCTTTGGTGTCAGGCTTCTTTCATTTAGCATCCTTAAAGCAATATTTTTTAATGTTTATTTATTTTTGAGAGAGAGACAGAGACAGAGCGCAAGTGAGGGAGGGGCAGAGAGAGAGGGAGACACAGAATCTGAAGCAGGCTCTAGGCAACCGAAGCTGTCAGCACAGAGCCCAATGCGGGACTTGAACCCACAAACCATTAGCTGAAGTCAGTCACTTAATAGACTGAGCCACCCAGACGCCCCTATCATCATATTTTTAAGTTTCATCTAGGTTTCAACATGTATCAGCACATCATTCCTTTTTTAAAAAAAATTGGGGAGAAATAGATATAACACAGCATTTGCCGTTTTATCCATTTTTACTCATTGGCATTAATTACCTTTCCATGTTGTGCAGCCATCACTGCTATTTTTTAAACATTTTCATCAGCCCAAACAGAAATTTCTCCCAGACCTCAGTACTCTAATCTACCCTAATCCACTAACCTCACCTACTCTCTGTCTCTCCGAATTTACCTATTTAGATACTTTGTATAAGTCGAGTCATACAGTTTTGTCCTTTGCTGTTTGGCCTAGTTCACTTAACATAATATTTCAAGTTTCACTCGTGTTGTAGCATGTATCAGAGCTCCATTCCTCTTTGTGGCTGAATCACATTCCATTGTGTGTCAGTGCCACATTCTGAACATTTGGGTTGTTTCCACTGCGTGGCTAATGTGAGTCACGCTGCAAAGAACATTTACAAGTATCTGAGTCTCTGTTTTCAATTCCTTGGGGTATATGCCGAGGACTGGAATGGCTTGAGTTACATGCTAATTCTGTACTTTTTGAAGAACCACCACACTTTTTTCAACGATGCACCTTTTGACTGTTTCAGGCTCCTCAAACTGTAAGTAAATAAATGATATGTTACGGACATTTATGGAGGGGCAGGCCTGGTTGGCGGACGTGAACGTGATTCTATGTAGGATACATAAAATCAGATTCTAACTACCAATTTAAGCACATAGAAGATTCTAATCCTTCTGCTTCCTTTCCAGCTCTGCTACGGATTTGGATCTGAAATCCTCCTCCTCACATTCTGATCAGTCCTCTGAAACCTCATTGCCTGAAGTCCCCAAGGATGAATGTCCCAAGGAGTTCAGCCTGCTGAAGTTTCAGACAAGTAAGTGAGTATGTCCTAGCCTCCCCTCCGTGTGCCTCCATGCCCAGAGCTTTCCAGAAAAGTCTGCTGTCCTGTTGGGCATAGTTCACTGAAGGCTCACGAAGTGCCAGGCATTTGACACGTTTTCTAACTCTCCCAGGGGCTCTGCTGGGGAGCCATCACGATATGTTTTCTAAAACCCAACCATAAAAGTATCATAGCGAAGTATGAAAATACTAAAGGAGTATGTAAGGTAGAGTATAGAACCCCCTTTCTCAGTGTTCGTCAATGCATCCCCCAGGAGCCACGTAGCCATGAGAAATTTGGAAGTGTGTATGTGCTTGTCTATATATGGGTTGGACCATACAACCATATTTTCACTAGTGGAAATAGTACACAAACTATTCTCACTCAGAGCAAAGAGATCAGGGACCTCTTTCTGTGTCAATACGCAGAAAGCCAGGTGGCTAATATAGAACTACCCATTTCTTTCTTTCTTTTTTTTTTTTGTTTTTTGTTTTTGAGAGAGAGAGAGAGAGACAGCATGAGCAGGGGAGGGTCAGAGAGAGAGAGAAACAAAATCTGAAGCAGGCTCCAGGCTCTGAGCTAGCTGTCAGCACAGAGCCCAAAGCGGGGTTCGAACCCGCGAACCGTGAGATCATGACCTGAGCTGAAGTCGGACACTTAACTGACTGAGCCACCCAGGCGCCCCTAAAACTACCCATTTAACACAGAAGGTCGCTGAGGCTCAGAGAGATTTAGTCTTTAGTCGCTTGTACAAGAACACCTGATGAGGAAGTACAGTGATGGGATTAGAATCCAAACCAGCCTGCTTCCAGAGCCTGTGTTCTTTCTGGGCCACCGCAGAGCCCAAGTGTTCCTCAAGCGCCCTAGAACTGTTAGAGGCTCTCTCGTTGTTTAAAATCGCTTTAGCCATTTTATAGGAAAAGTACTGAGTGAGGAAACGAAGCGCTGAGAGGTCTGATGACTTGCCTGAGGTCTCGCGGTGGCCCTTCTCATTTGCCAGAGTCGCACGTATATATTTTCCAGTGTCACACTAGTGCACGTGTGTGCCACTGTTGTGGCCAACACCGTGGTCCATCCACTAAGTTGCCATGGTTGGCCCAGCCCTTCCCTGGTTGATGGCCATTCCGTTCTTTCTACCCACTCATCAGAGTGAAGGTTGGAGCATAGGTGCTTGTATAACTGTCTCTGAGCTTTCTGTTCCAGACATCACTTCCAACCATAAGGATGGCTTTATTGTTGGTGGAGAGGGTAACAAGGAAAAAAACAGAGAACTCTTAGATACCTTTCTCCCCACTTCCCTTCTTTTTTTTTTTTTAGTATTTATTTTATCTTATTAAAACATTTTTTAATGTTTATTTTTGAGAGACAGAGTGTGAGCAGGGGAGGGGCAGAGAGAGAGAGGGAAACACAGAATCCAAAGCGGGCTCCAGGATTGAGCTGTCAGCACAGAGCCTGACGTGGGGCTCGAACTCATGAACCATGAGATAATGACCTGAGCTGAAGTCAGATGCTTAACCAACTGAGCCAGCCAGGCACCCCTTTTTAATATTTATTTTTGAGAGAGAAAGAGAGCGAGCGAGCGAGCAAGCAGGAACAGGGAAGGGGCAGAAAGAGAGAGAGAGAGGGAGAGAGAGGGGGAGGCAGAGGATCCGAAGCGTGTTCTGCGCTGCGAGCAGAGCCCAGTGCAGGGCTCGAACTCATGAACTGCGAGATCATGACCTGAGCTAAAGTCTGACACTTAACCAACTGAGCCACCAGGAGCCCCTTCCCTTCCTTTCGTGCCGAGTCCCCCAGAGGTTATTAACACTGCCCCCAATGTAGAACCAAGGAATTAAACACGTTGATAAAGGTTCTACAGTCAGAGAATGCCTGGGACCACCTTCTGTCATTTAATTGCATGATGAGGCCGGGAGTGGTGCTGACGGAAGGGTTTCTGATGTCTTGCAGAAGATGGGCACCGTCCTGAGTGGACGTTTTACCCGAGGTTTAGCAGCAGTATCCACACCTACCACGTTGGAAAGCAGTGCTTCTTTAACGGGGTCTTCCTCGGCAACAGGAGGTCTCTATCAGAGAGGATGGTGGACAAGTGCTTTGGGCGGAAGAAATATGGTAATATTTTCCTCCTGGACCTTGACTGTGTGGTGCCTGAAAATACTCTTGAGTCGTGATTCTGTAGGACCAACATTCCATGGCTGGCGTCAGCCCTCTGGGGTCACCATGTGTTTTTTTTTAAATTTTTGAATGTTTATTTTTGAGAGAGAGAGAGAGAGAGCACAAACAGGGAACAGGGGAGAGTCAGAGAGAGAGAGGGAAACACAGAATCTGAAGCAGGTTCCGGGCTCTGAGCTGTCAGCACAGAGCCCGACTTGGGGCTCCAACTCATCGACCGTGAGATCATGACCTGAGCCCAAGTTGGATGCTTAACCCACTGAACCACCCAGGTGCCCCTCTGGGGTCACTGTGTTACTGTATGGCGGCCAGGAAGACAGGAAAGTGAAGGCGATGGTTGGCAGACTGCACTTTTTGGCAAAGGACTGATAACATATGCTGATCCACATTTTTGTTTTTCTCTGAATTTCATAAAATGCTAATGTGACATTTAAGTCATCAGACAAGTTCTCTCAGATACTTATTAATAGAAACCTTCATTCAAGTCTGAAGAAAATAATTGATGTTTCAATTAGATGCTGCCTATGATACGTATTTAAATTATACATTATATTCTTCAAAAGGAAAATATCCCATAACCCTTTGCCTGAAGTGCATGCTGTTATTTCATAGATTATTAAAGGTAATTTGAGATGAGCATGTGTATATATTTATATACTTTGTAACTTGATGAGTTCTCGACCCCAGCCTACCCATGTTAGATTTATGGAAAGATCCTAGGGTTGGTGAGTTCCAAAGGACCATTATAGCACATTCTTCTATAGAAATACCCATACAGGAAGCAGCCATTGTTTTCATGGATGAATAGGATTGCTGTAGCAGGAATACAAAGAGGAAGAAATAGTTCTCATTTTTGAGTTTTAAAATAGACGTTTTGGTTTATTTTGCTTTAGAGAGAGGGGAGAGCGCGGGGGTGGGGGTGGGGGGAGGGACCGAGGGGGAAAAAGAGAGAGACAATCCCAAACAAGCTTTATGCTTTGTGTGGAGCTGAACACGGGGCTCCATTTCACAACCTGAACCGAAATCAAGTGTAGGATGCTTTAACCGACTGAGCCCCTTGGGAGCCTCTACAATGGACTTTTAAACTCATTGCAGAGACAAATAGTTTTAAATGTTTATTTATTTTTTAGAGAGAGAGAAAGCACGAGTGAGTGGGGAAGTGGGGAAGGGGCGAGGGTGGGGAGGGACAGAGTATCTGAAGCGGGCTTTGTGCTGACAGCAGAGAGCTCAATGCGGGGCTGGAACTCTCGAGCCTGAGCGGAAGTCAGATGCTTAACCAACTGAGCCCCCGAGGTGCCTCCAGAGATAAGTAGTTTTAAAGATCAGGGTTTTTGTCTGGATAGAGAATATACAAGAAGCCATACTAGAGGATGTCAGAGAGTTGTCACTGAGGTGGGTGTCTTGAGGTGTCCTGTATCCTGCTCGGTTCCTGAGACCAAAATCTAGTAGGTGATCAGATGTGACTCTAGCTGGGACTTCCGCCTCAGAGTGTGGTTGGGGCAACCTCAGAGTAATGATAGCCATGGGCAATGTCTGGGCAGAAAGCTGGACTCAGGGTCTCACCCACCCAGGAGATGTGGGTAATAGCTGCATTCTCGTGGCCTGTGAGGACTGTGGAGGTCGGGACACAGAGCAAGCCAGGAGAGCTGCACCCTTCTCACAACTGAGTGGCAGGAGGCCACTGTGATGCGCTGTGGAGCATCAAGCCAGGGGTCATGAGAATGAATTTATGCCCCACCTGATGCATTGTGGGGCCCGCTGACTTCCTGAGGGTCAGACGAGATGACACGTTTTAGCAGACGACAGAAATAGATGCCAACCTTCAGAGAGTAGCAGAGACAAGGTGAGTATCAGACACCAGTGTGGTTGGCAGACAGTGACCCAGGACCCAAAGGCTTCCGCCAAAGCCTTGATATCACACAAGCCTGTTTTGCACACACACACTCCCCACTCCCAACGGAGAGGCAGCCATAGGGTAGAATAGGAAAGATTTATTTAGCTGGTTTAAAGATGAAACAGCAGGGAAAGACCAAGAAGGGACTAAGTTTAGCTGTATAGTACTTAGGGAATGCTCTCGGCCACAGTAAGACAAAAGCCAAACTACCAGAGGCTTAAATTGTAAGATATTTATTATGTACTTAACGAGAAGCTTTAGAATCTAGGTGATCTATATGGTCTGATTGCCCTATGATGTTGTCAAAAATATAGGCTTGTTTTTCTAAGTGTATTTATTTCTTTTGAGAGAGAGAGATCAGGGGACGGGCAGAGAGAGAGGGAGAGAGAGAGAATCTCAAACAGGCTCCACACCATCAGCACAGAGCCAGATGCAGGGCTTGAACTCATGAACTGTAAGATCATGACCTGCGTGGAAATCAAGTGTTGTATGCTTAACGAACTGAGCCACCCAGGTGCCCCAAAGACATAGGCTCATTTTGTGTTGCTATTCTTAGTTGTGGTGGATTTTTGCCTTCACACTTGTCATCTTATGGTCACAAGGGAACCGTTACAGTTCCAGGCATCACATGTATATTTCAAAACATGAAAAGGAGGACTCTCTCTTATTGCCTTCCCTTTTTAGAATGAGGGAAAAATTTTTCCCGTATGGTCCTTAGGAGACTTCCTTCCACTCATGTCTCACTGACTAGAACTGGGCCAGTGACAAGTATTTATAAAAAATAAATGGTATTTTAATGATGACTCAAATCCTAACCCTGATCCATCACTTCCCTCCTAACGCAAGCATTACCCTGAATTTTGTTTATTATTATTTCCCTTCCATCCTTCCTTCCTTCATTTGTCCTTTCCTTCTTTTTATGCTTTTTATACATACAGAATAAATGTAAAGATATATTTATGAAATATTTATTGAACGTCTAGAATAAAGTATCATAATCACTTGTGTTTTTAAAAATTTTTAAAAATGTTTTGTTTATTTTTGAGAGGGAGGGACAGAACATGAGCGGGGAGGGCAGAGAGAGAGTGGGGAACACAGAATCTGAAGCAGGCTCCAGGCTCCGAGCTGTCAGCACAGAGTCCGACTCAGGGCTTGAACTCACAAACTGTGAGATCATGACCTGAGCCGAAGCTGGATGCCTAACTGACTGAGCCACCTAGGTGCCCCTCACTTGTGTTTTTTTAAATGTTAATTTATTTTTGAGAAAGAGAGAGACAGAGAGAGAGAGAGAGAGACAGAGAGAGAGAGAGAAAGAGAGAGAGCGAGCACAGGGGAGGGGCAGAGAGAGAAGGAGACAGAGGACCCAAAATGGGCCCTGTGCTGACAACAGAGAGCCCAATGTGGGGCTCAAACTCATGAACCATGAGATCATGACCTGAGCCCAAGTGGGACACTTCACTGACTGAGGCACCCAGGCTCCCCTAAAGTATCACCATCATTTGTATGCTTCTTACTCCATTTTAGACATAGAGTATTGTCTTTATATTTGAAGCTACTGATAGGCCCCTCCCTGAATATGACATCTTTCCTCCCCCAACTCCACAGGCAACCCCAATTCCATCTATATTACAAAGAAAAACTTTATGGTGGACATTTTCAAACATGCCAAAGTAGAGAGAAGAGCATACTGCTACCTGATGTACCCATCACTTAGCTTCAACAATTATCATATGTGGCTAATCTTGTTTCATTTTTACCCCCCTCCCCCAAGGACTATTTTAAAGGAATTTCCAGATATCAGATAATTACATCCATGTATGTATTTGTGTATACCTCTAATTGATAAGGATTATTATTTTTTTTAAATATTTTTTTATTTATTTCTAGGAGAGAGAGAGAGACAGCGTGAGCAGGGGAGGGTCAGAGAGAGAGGGAGACACAGACTCTGAAACAGGCTCCAAGCTCTGAGCTGGCAGTCAGCACAGAGCCCGACGCGGGGCTCGAACCCACGAACCGCGAGATCATGACCTAAGCGAAAGTCGGACGCTTAACCGACTAAGCCACCCAGGCGCCCCTGATAAGGATTATTTTTATTAATATGGCCACAATACCATTTTCGTGCCTTAAAAAAAAAGCTAACAGTAATTCCTTAATATCACCAAATATTGTCAGTGTTCAAATATTCAATTGCCTCACATATGCCAAAATTTAAAAATATTTAGAGTTTGAATCAGGGTCCAAAAAAGGTTCACATTTAACAATTAGTTAAAATGTCTTTAAAACCTCTTTTTAATACACAGGTCCTCCCCCTCTTTTTTCTTGCAATTTATTCGGTGAAGAAACTAGGTCATTGGTCTTGTAAAGTTTGCCACAGTTAGGATTTTGCTGATTACATCCCTAGGTACCATTTAACAGGCTTCTCTCTCCAATATATTTCTTGTAAACTGTTAGTTGGGTCTACAGGCTTGATTCGTTTTAGTGTGATTACTTCCTGGGTACTATGCAACAACTTCATTAAACCTCAAACACAATGGTCTCTTTTCCATTTTTTCTCTTCCTTGATCTCTTGCAGCACCTGGTACTTTTAAACTTGGCACCGGACATTTCTTTGTTTGTGACATTCCCTTCTCCTTCGTTATTTCTTGGACAAGATGGAGACTCAGCATCATGACTGCCAGTCAGTTTCTGTTATGAACTGAAATTCAACACATGTATTATAGAAAAAAATCCAATCAAAAATATATTTAATGAAGAGTTGACTTTAATGATCAGCTACGATCAGGCCATTGGTGGAGTTCCTTAAAGGCCTAATGTGTTGTCAAGGAAAAAGAACAAAATGTTGTCTATGGTTATAGGTTGTAGGGAAATTGACCTGAAATATAATTTTTCTCTTCTGTGGCTCTTCCTCATTAGCTAATTCCCTTCTGAGATCGAGTCAGAGAGGCAGAGCCCAATTGCAGTTGCTTCTTTTTTTTTTTTTTTAATTTTTAATGTTTTATTTGTTTTTGAGAGAGAGAGAGAGAGCGCATGAGCAGGGAAGGGTCAGAGAGAGAGGGAGACACAGAATTAGAGGCAGGCTCCAGGCTCTGAGCTGGCAGTCAGCACAGAGTCCGACGCGGGGCCCGAACCCACAAACCGTGAGATCATGACCTGAGCTGAAGTCGGACGCTTAACCGACTGAGCCACCCAGGCGCCCCGCAGTTGCTTCTTAAGCTTCATAGGACACAGGGGTTCAAAGTGCACCAGTGCTCAGATTTTAAGCAGAGTTCGTGCTCATTCTTTGCAGACACCGTTGATTCCCTTCTTATTTTATCTATCTATCTATCTATCTATCTATTCATTTTTTTGTTTAAAGGCCAACTGTACTTTATTTTTTTAATGTTTATTTATTTTGAGAGAGAGAGAGATGCAGATAGAGAGGGAGAGGAGGGAATCCCAAGCAGGCTCCAAGCCCAGCACAGAATCCAACATGGGGCTCCTTCTCATGAACCATGAACCGAAATCAAGAGTCAGACGCTTAACCAACGGAGCCACCCAAGTGTCCGTCACCATTCAATTTAAACCAGAACATCCCGTCTGAACATAAGCTATTGTTCTTTCCCGGGGTGGGGTAATTGGGACACCTTCTGGAAAAATGTCCTAAATACAGTGTTTCTCAAGCACACTGTTATCTTCATCTTCTCAAAGCAAGGCAATCATGAACAGAAAACTTTAGGACGCCTACATGTACTTCATAATAAAACATGAAATTATCCTGTTTCCATTGTCATATGGATAGAGAATTATCTGTAGATTCTCTTCAGTCCCTTTTATGATCTTGTTTTTATTTTTTTTTTTAAATTTAAATGTTTGTTTATTTTTGAGAGACAGAAAGAGACAGAGCATGAGGGAGGGTGCAGAGAGTGGGAGACACAGAATCCAAAGCAGGCTCCAGGCTCTGAGCTAGAGCCTGACGTGGGGCTCAAACTCACAAACACTGAGATCATGACCTGAGCCGAAGTCGGCCACTTAACCGACTGAGCCACCCAGGGATGCTCCTATGATCTTGTTTTTAAATATCTTTCGCAGATATTGATCCTAGGAATGGAATACCAAAGTTAACTCCAGGAGATAATCCATATATGTACCCAGAACAGAGTAAAGGCTTCCACAAAGCAGGGTCAACTCTCCCACCAGTGAATTTCTCAACGTAAGTGTATGTGAGTACCAGGGTTAGTTAGTTAATTATAAACGAATTGTATCTCTGTGTACTATATATGTTATATTTTATAAGGGGTAGATTCCAACAAAATGTGGTTGCTGAAAATTCCTTAAAGAGTTCATCTCTAGTTCCTTAGTGTCTAAGGAACACATGTGTGCAATTTAAATTATACACAGGATCTTGACTACAACAAGGTGGTTATTAATTTTGTCCTAGTAGTTGTTACCACAAGTCTGAAGACTTTTCAGTTTCATACTGAATCAGATTATTAGTGTCAACTGTTTGGATTGATGTACACTTGGAACTAAACTTAGACCAAAACGATTGAGGAGAAGAGGAGGTTCATGAAGTTAAAAGAAAAATAGTTGGTGTATTACATTAATATTTTAAAAAATCAATTATGTTTGGTTTAATGATGTTTAATAAAAATGATAATAAGAATTCTGACCTTGACGGCTGTGAAGCCCTTAGGTGGCCATTAAAACCAGAAAATCAGACATCTTCTTGAACACAAAGATGTTTATATCGATCTCTCCACTGTGGATGCTGTGCCAATTTTATGGTTGCCTTTTCTGTTTTTCAGAGTGCCTTATGAAAAGAAATTTGATACATTTATTCCACTTGAGCCTCTTCCACAAATTCCTGTGTAAGTCCTCTCACCATGCTTTATCAATTTTTATGAAGTTATCAGTTATTTATTATTTTCTCCTATGGATGAGCTCATAGACACCCAACATAGAAGGGCCTTTAGAATCTGAGCTGGTGGGTGGGGCAGTTTGTATGGAGGGTTTTTGGTGAGACACTTAGAGGGCAAGTGCTGTACGGTCTGGTAGCCGAGGCTGTCCATGTCTTCAGCCCATACGATGGAGGACAGCCCGCCGGATGCCATATGTTGTCCTGGGTATGCACTATGGGGGGTTTATATGGAGAAAAAAGACAGGGTCCCTGATGTTGAAAAACCTAAGAGTTGTCAGCAAAGAAGGACCCATGCTTAAATGAGTGCAGCCAGGAAGGATGGTTAGAGTTTGAAGAGGCAGAGAAAGAGCTGTCAGAATAGAATATTCTTGCACTTGAGGGAAGTATTATTCCTCTGATGTCATATTTTAAGTTCAGGTCCTTTCTGAACCCCATCTGTTTGCCCAAGTAGGGTTTAGACCTAGACAAAGATATGTGTCAGTATAAAAAATTTCGCTTTCTAACACCAAACGGTTTCATATAAGCATGGATAGAGTGGGCGAGTGTCCCACAGTCTGCCCCACCAGAGGCCAGCTGAGAAACTGAACCCAGCTCAGTGGAAATGAAAAGCCTTTTATTCCAAACTTGGGAGCTTTAATATCTTCATTGTACGGCATTATGACATGAAGCAGATAATTAGGGCCTCTCATCTCTGTGCTCTATACTTAAAAACTTATTTTTTTAATATTTGTTTATTTTTGAGAGAGAGAGAGAGAGAGAGTGAGTTGGGGAGGGGCAGAGAGAGAGGGAGACCCAGAATCTGAAGCAGGCTCCAGGCTCTGAGATGTCAGCACAGAGCCCGATGCAGGGCTTGAACCCACAAACCTTGAGATCATGACCTGACCTGAAGTTGGACGTTTAATTGGCTGAACCACCCAGGTACCTCTTTGAAGAAATAAATCTGAACAGACCAATGACTAGTAAGGAGATGGAATCAATAATCAGAAATCTGCTAACTTAAGCCCAGAACCTAGCGGTTTCACTGGTAAGTTTTATCAAGCATTTAAAGAAGATGGGGTGCCTGGGTGGCTCGGTTGGTTAAGTGTCCGACTCCGGCCCAGGTCATGATCTCACAGTTTATGTGTTCGAGCCCCATGTCGGGCTCTGTGCTGGCAGCTCAGAGCCTGGAGCCTGCTTCAGATTCTGTGTCTCCCTCTCTCTCTGACCCTCCCCTGCTCACGCTGTCTCTCTCTCTCAGAAATAAATAAAAACATTAAAAAAACATTTAAAGAAGAAATTAATTTCATTTCCTTCCAAACTCTTCCAAAAAAGTAGAAGAGGAAGGAATACTTCCAAACTCATTTTATGAGGTCTGCATTACCTTGATACCAAAACTAGACAAGGACACTGCCAGAAAATATAATTTATAAGCCGATATCCCTGATAAATATAGGTCCAAAAATCCTCAACGATTAGCAAGCCAACCATTAAAAAGATCATACATCATGATCAAGTGGGCCTATTCCAGGAATGCAAGATGGTCCAACATCCACAGATCAATGAATGTGATCTACCACAGTAACAGAATGAAGGATAACCATGACCATCTCAACAGATGCAGAAGAAGCATTTGTTCAAAATCATCTATCATTACATGATATAAAAATTCGACGAATTGCATATAAAGGGAACATACCTCAACCTATGTTCAAACTTATTCTTTCTTACGAGTAGTGTTTAATTTTTCCAGAGTATTATCCATTTCTTTTAGGTTTTCAAATTTATTTGCATAGAATTGTTCCAAAAAATTTCCTTTCTTCTTTCACTTGTTGTTTTCCCCTTATTGTTTATTTTGTGTTTGTGCTTTATTCCTCTTTTCCTTCATTAGGTTAGATAGTGGTTTGTGTATTTTTTTTTAATGTGTTATTTATTTCTAGGAGAGAGAGAGAGAGAGAGACAGCGTAGCAGAGGAGGGTCAGAGAGAGAGGGAGTCACAGACTCTGAAACAGTCTCCAGGCTCTGAGCTGGCAGTCAGCACAGAGCCCGACGCGGGGTTCGAACCCACGAACCGCGAGATCATGACCTAAGCGAAAGTCGGACGCTTAACCGACTAAGTCACCCAGGCGCCCCTGTGTATTTGTTGTTTTTTAAAAGCAGCTTTAAAAATTGTATTCTCTTTTCATACTGTCTCTTTGTTTTTAAAGCATTAATCTTTGCTTCTATTGTTATATTTCCTTCTTTCTACTCTTTGGTTTTATTATTTATTTTGAAAGAGAGACAGAGAACAGGGGAGGGGCAGAAAGAAAGGGGAACAGAGGATCCAAAGTGGGCTCTGTGCTGACAGCAGAGATCCGGTGCAGGGCTCGAACCCATGAACCATGAGATTATGACTAGAGTGGAAGTTGGATGTCTTACCAACTGAGCCACCCAGGTGCCCCACTTTAAAATTTTTAGAATGGGATTTTTAATTCATTTTTAAATTCCTTAATATCTATAATAAAGGTTATGAAAGTACCTCTGACCACTGCTTTGCCTTTATAATACAAATTTTGAAGTGTAGAGTATCCTTACTTCTTATTTATTTTTTATTTATTTTTTAAATGGCTTTTATTTATTTCTGGGAGAGAGAGAGAGAGAGAGTGTGTGAGCAGGGGAAGGTCAGAGAGAGAGGGAGATAATCTGAAACAGGCTCCAGGCTCTGAGCTGGCAGTCAGCACAGAGCCTGACGTGGGGCTCAAACCCACGAACCGTGAGATCATGACCTGAGCCGAAGTAAGACGCTAACCGACTGAGTTACCCAGGCGCCCCTTGAATATCCTTACTTTTTAAAATAATTCTGTGTTGGTCTTTTCCTTTTAGCTAAAGAATTACTTAAGAGAGTTAAGATTTCCAGGTGGAAGAGCTTTTTGATTTTTATTTTGCAATTCATTTATACTTTTGTCACCCAATGATCAGAAAATACTGTTTTTACTATTTTTATTTTATGGAACTTACCAACTTTTCATTGTGACCTAATACATGCTCAGTTTGGGGACTGTCTCTACATACATTTGAAGGTGTATCTATTTCATCAGGATGCAAAGTTAGATACATACCCAGAAGATTTATCTTCATTTTGATTAAAATTGTTCATTTGACCTAGCTTGGACTGAAAATGGGTGTGTTAATTGTGTGCTAATATTAATGTATTTCTATCTTTATTGTTAAGTATAGCCATTAACATGAAAATATCTTCCTAGACCCGAACCAGACTTAACTATAAAGAACAAACTGGTTATCAGAGGGGAGGTGGGGCTGGGGGACAGGTATAAGTAAGAGTATACTTATCTTGATGAGTACTGAGTAATATGGAAGTATTGCATACCTGAAATGAGTATAACATCACAAATTAACTAGATTGGAATTAAACTTTAACAAATCTTCTTTTTCTCATTTAATGCTTTTTGTCTTATATCATACACTGCCAGATATTAAGATAACTCCTACTTTGTTTTGTCTGCATTGACTGATAAAACTTTGCCTATTCTTTTGTTTTTAGACATTCAAAACACTTTGTTTGAGGTCTGTAATATAGGCACAGAGTTGAATTTTTGCTTGTGAGCCGATCTGAAAAAATTTTTCTTTAATAGGTGAATTAAGATCATTTACATTAAGGGTTTGACAGCTTTATTTCAATTCTATCCTCATATTTTGTTACATTTATTATGTGTACTGTATTATTTTTACCATGGTGGTTTTGCTCTAGAGATTCTCTCTCTTTTATTAAATGTTTACTTATTTATTTTGAGAGAGAGAGAGAGCGAGCGAGCAAGCAGGGGCGGTGCAGAGAGAGGGAGAGAGAGAATCCCAAACAGGCTCCATGCTGTCAGTGCAGGGCCCGATGTGGGGCCTTGAACCCACAAACTGTGAGATCATGACCTGAGCTGAAATCAAGAGTGAGACCCTTAACTGACTGAGCCACCCAGGCGCCCCTTGTGCTAGGGATTCTTTATGCTAGAATCTTTCTGTATTACTCTTCTTCCTGCTGGTCTTATTTGGGCTTTTCCTATTGGTTTGTCAGCTTTACATGATTTTCTTGACTCCCTACTATTACCTATGTGGTAATCCCTTGTCCCTTCTTTTTTTTTTTTTTTAATATTTTTTATTTATTTCTAGGAGAGAGAGAGAAAGAGACAGAGACAGCGTGAGCAGGGGAGGGTCAGAGAGAGAGGGAGACACAGACTCTGAAATAGGCTCCAGGCTCTGAGCTGGCAGTCAGCACAGAGCCTGACGCGGGGCTCGAACCCACAAACCGCGAGATCATGACCTAAGTGAAAGTCGGACGCTCAATTGACTAAGCCACCCAGGCACCCCTATAATCCCCTGTCCCTTTTTGCAGGGATTTCCACATCTCTAGCAGGTTTATCAGGGCATTTTCTCAATCATGGTGCGTTTCTCCTTAAAGGTATGGAAATCGTAGCTGCCAAGAGACAAAAACATTCTTCATCTCCTTTCTCTGACTCATCCCAGGAGTCACAATTCCTGGTACCTCTTGGAACATACACAGTGGCCCAGCATATGTTCTTTCAAATCTCAACAGACGGGCGGATGCTGGCTGTCTGCTTTAGAAAACAGAAGCCATGCTCAGGTGGCATTCTGAAGAATCCTGAATGAAAGGACTGTTTACAGATGTGTGAACCAGTTGAGGGAACCCACACGGAAGGGAGAAGCATCCAGGGGCTCCCAGCAGGCGGCGGCTCTTACCACTCCCAGATCAGCGCAGCAGGAAGCGTGACCTTGTCCCCCTGCGTGGGGGAGGTGGCGAAGGGCAGTGGAGAATGGAAACAGTGCCACAACCCGGGTACCTCAGGAGACGAGCGGGAGTAGAGGAGCCAGATGAGATGCACCCCAACCTCTCTTTTCTCGCTTTCTGGTCTCCCACTGGTGCTTCCCATTAGCCAAGCCCAGCTCAAAAGTGACAGCACAGAGGAGTCAGGGGGAATCAAGTTGCAGGGGTCGGTTCCCTGGGCAGAGAAGGGCAGAAAAGAGGTCTGGTGTTTGGGGGAGAGGCAAATGTGGAACAACTTAACATGGTGTTTTGTCCCTGATCTCCTAAATTGGAGGCCTTTTACTTTGGAGGATGCAGTACCTTATCCGCTGAAGGTCTTGGTGCATTTTGCTTTAGACAAACTCACTCAGGTGTTGTTTTCTTCCTACAGCTTGCCTTTCTGGGTGAAGGAGAAGGCCAACAGGCTGAAGAATGAGATAAGAGAGGTTGAGGAGCTTGACAATTGGCACCCAGCGGTCCCCTTGATGCACACTTTATTCCCTGCTGGTGGGTTAAAGGACCTTCAAAGAATAGTATAAAACCAGCGGCAAGGCCAGAAGAGCAGACTTTTGAGAGGTTTTCCAGTGGAGAGGAGAGAAGGCAGAGCCTCTCCCAGAGTGGATGGTATCTTTTGCCCCAACGTGGTCTCTTAGGCTGACGTCATGGCCGTGCATCACTGGTTGAGTGTGTTGGTTGAGGACTCTTAGTCTTGTAATGGAGCACAACCTTTAACTCCGTGCCTCTATCCACAGGTTCTTTGGACTCGCCAAGACAACCCTAAACAGGAACAGGCCCACAGAGCATGCACTGACTGTACTCGGGAGAGCCTCTTCCAATTGATCACTTCTGTCAGTGTGATTGTTCTAAATCAAATGTTTGACTTTGATGAGTAATCATTGTGCTTTGCCTTTTTTAAAATACTTTTTAGGGGCTCCTGGGTGGCTTAGTCGGTTAAGCGTCCGACTTTCACTTGGGTCATGATCTCACGGTTCGTGGGTTCGAGCCCCGCGTCGGGCTCTGTGCTGACTGCCAGCTCAGAGCCTGGAGCCTGTTTCAGAGTCTGTGACTCCCTCTCTCTCTGACCCTCCCCTGCTCATGCTGTCTCTATCTCTCTCTCCTAGAAATAAATAAAAAACATTAAAAAAAATACTTTTTAGAAAATGTTCATTTTTGAGAGAGAGAGAAAGAGCGAGTGCAAGTGGGGAAGGGGCAGAGTGAGAGGGAGACACAGAATCCAAAGCAGGCTCCAGGCTCCAAGCTATCAGCACAGAGCCTGGTGCAGGGCTCGAACTCACAAATCGTGAGATAATGACCTGGGCCGAAGTCGGAGGCTTAACCAACTGAGCCACCCAGGTGCCCCCGTGCTTTGCCTTTTTAAACTCTATGTTCTGAAAACTTTCAAACTTAACAGAAAAGCTGTGAGAATCATACAATGAACAAATACCTACATGTCCTTCACTTAGAATTCACCATTGTTAACCTTCGTCAAAAGTTGTGCATTCTTTTTCATTCCTGTTATTATTCTGCTGAATTGTTTGAGAATGAGTGGCAGACATCATCACCCCATACTGCTTCATACTCTATACTTCAACATGTATCTTCTAAGGTCAAGGACATGCTCCAACAGTTGCAATACAAAAGAACAAGTTCGGGGAACTCAACATTGACACAATCCTATGGCAGTCCACCGTCAGCTTTATGCAGTTAAATTTGGTTTTCTAAGTATGCCCTCAAATCAATGGTAAAATGCAGACTTTAGCTTTAGTAAAATTCTCCTCATTAATACTATTTGAGATTTCCTCTACTAGTCATGGGGTACATGTCAGAAAAATGTCAAGGCTGGATCATACCATTGCCCCTGTAACCCCCTCCCTCAATCCATCCCTTGCTTCTGTATTCATTTGACCAACGAGAGCTCAGTGAGTACCAATCATGAATCTTAGGGCCTTTCATCAATCAGGCAAGGAGGGAAAATTTGGAAGCAAAGATGGGAACAAAAGCCAACCATTTACCTTCAGGCTGTGACCCTCCACAGTCAAGCCAGTGACTCAGCATTTTCATAGCCGATCTCCTCTCCTCTACTAAGGAAACCCCACTGGCTGGCTAAGGGGGGCTGCGGGTCCCTTCCCCCAAAACGTTAAAGTGGAAAGGGAGAATTGAGGCTCATGCTGAGACTCAAAGTGTTCAAGACACGAGACATGACTTCTTTTTCTGTCAACACATTGTCTCCAGAGGTAACCAAAGTAAATGAAGCGGGTTTAGAACGGAGTACATTCGGGGCGCCTGGGTGGCTTAGTCTGTTAAGCGTCCGACTTTCTCTTTGGTCATGATCTCTCTGTTCGTGGGTTCGAGCCCTGCGTCGGGTTCTGTGCTGACTGCCAGCTCAGAGCCTGGAGCCTGTTTCAGTCTGTGACTCCCTCTCTCTCTGACCCTCCCCTGCTCACGCTGTCTCTCTCTCTCTCTCTCTCCTAGAAATAAAAAAAAAAAAAGAAAAAGAACGGAGTACATTCCTGCTGTCTTTATACACGCCTTTGGATCAACTAGCAGACAACAGGGTGGCCCCTGCCAGCAACTGTGTCTGGCCACTCTTTGGGTTAGCATCAGCATACCTCTGCGCTGATTCTTTTGCCCCTGGGACACAGGCTCACCCCTGTGCCCAACAAAATTCACAAAAATAAGTACATAAATAAAAAACAAAACCAAATACTTTAGAGAAGGGAAAAAAGAAGAGGTTGCCAACAAATTTTCTCAAAGACATCTACTCCTGTAAAAGATAACTTTTTGTGCTTCTATTACCTAAAATATGAAAAATTCAATTGCAACCACGTGTGTTGGATGGATAATGGAGAACACAACATGGAAGCAAATAAGGATTCTGCAGGAATTTCCAGATGGGATTATCTAGGTGGGCCAGGAAACTGCTCTCAGAGGGGACTCTGGTGTTTTGGAAAGAAGGAGTCCTATATAGTAAAGGTTTTAAGAAAAACAACCTGCTTGCAGTTTTAGAAGATGTATACCAGCTTCTAGATGTCAAAGAGGTCTATATCATCCCCCCCCCTTTTTTTTTAAAGTTTATTTTTGAGAGAAAGAGGCAGAGTGCTAGTGGGGGAGGAGCAGAGAGAGAGGGGGGACACAGAATCTGAAGCAGGTTCCACACTGTCAATGCAAAGTCTGATACAGGGCTTGAACCCATGAACTGTGAGACCATGATCTGAGCCAAAGTCTGACACTCAATGAACTGAGCCACCCAGGTACCCCCCCATCCCCCAACCATTTCAAGAAAGATTTTATAAGTATTCTCTACACCCAACGTGGGGCTTGAACTCACAATCCTGAGATCAAGAGTCACATGCTCCATCGACTGAATGAGGCAGGCAATGTCTTTTTCTTGGGCCAGAGTTTCTCAAATTGTGTTTCCTAAATATCAGTCGATATCATAAGAAAAAAAGTTTCCAGGGTCAACTTTGTTTGGAAATGTTATATTAAAAAGGGAGTGGGGCGCCTGGGTGGCTTAGTCGGTTAAGCGTCCGACTTTCGCTTAGGTCATGATCTCGCGGTTCGTGGGTTCGGGCCCCGCGTCGGGCTCTGTGCTGACTGCCAGCTCGGAGCCTGGAGCCTGTTTCAGTCTGTGACTCCCTCTCTCTCTGACCCTCCCCTGCTCACGCTGTCTCTCTCTCTCTCCTAGAAATAAATAAAAAAACCTTAAAAAAAAAATAAAAAGGGAGTGTATTTGTTTCCTAGGGATGCTGTAACAAACCACAAACTGGGTGGTTCAAAATGAGAGAAATTTATTCTTTCACAGTTCGGGAGGCTGGAAGTTGGAAATCAAGGTGTCAGGTTGGTTCATTCTTGAGTGCTCAAGGTGGGGGTGGATATAGAATGCCTCTGTCTTAGTTCTAGTGTTGCCAGCTGGGGTGGTGATGGCCTCTTTGCGGGGACCCTGAGTCCTGGCTGGTGAGGCTTGGGTATTATTGTGGGGGTTTGGCCAATGCATGCCATGTTGGAGGACAGTCTCTTGTGTTCATGGCTATTGGGTTTGTTTTTAATATATATATATTTTTATTTCTAGGAGGGTGAGAGAGATAGCATGAGCAGGGGAGGGTCAGAGAGAGAGGGAGACATAGACTCTGAAATAGGCTCCAGGCTCTGAGCTGACAGCACAGAACCCGACGCGGGGCTCGAACCCACGAACCGCGAGATCATGACCTAAGCAAAAGTCGGACGCTTAACTGACTAAGCCACCCAGGTGCCCCTGGTTTGTTTTTCGAAATCATGGAAGTGGCATGATGTTGCATTTTCTGAATCCTTAAGTTAGACAGGCAGTCTGCATGTTCAAGGGTGTCTTGGGGGACATTTGACAGAGTTGCTCTGTCCTAATGGGCAGGTTGTATAATGGACACCCCTAGGGGGCATCATTTACATCATAGAAATGGTAGACACTGAGTGAGTCCCTGGGTGGTGGAATGGCATTCTGACAAGCTCTATCTCACTGAATTTTAGGTATGTCTCAATTACTTTGCCATCCAAATTTATGAGGGAGGTATTGTTAACTCCACTTTTTATTTTTTTTTATTTTTATTTTAATTTTTTTTTAAGGTTTTTTTAAATTTACTTCTAGAGAGAGAGAGAGTGAGCAGGGGAGGGTCAGAGAGAGAGGGAGTCACAGACTGAAACAGGCTCCAGGCTCTGAGCTGGCAGTCAGCACAGAGCCCGACGCGGGGCTCGAACCCACGAACCGTGAGATCATGACCTAAGCGAAAGTCGGACGCTTAACCGACTAAGCCACCCAGGCGCCCCTGTTAACTCCACTTTTTAGATGAGAATAAGATTCAGCAAGGTTATTATGCAAGCTAATTAGAGAGCGAAGATTTCAGTCCAACCTGAGTTTGTCTATCAATGGTAACACATTATTAATCCACATAGACTGAATAATGATATATGAAAAACTGACCAGATATTTTTGTGGGTTTCTGGGACAATCACTGATCATCTGAGGTTGCCTTTCTTGTAATAACAGCTGCCACATTTGGGGGCAGTTTTATGTATCAGATACTGGGCTAGGTTTATGATCTCATTTAATCCTTGGACAATCCTATGGAGTTGCTATACTATTATCTCTGTTTTACAGCTTAAAAAATTTAGGGTTAGGGACGCCTGGGTGGCTTAGTTGGTTAAGCCTCCGACTCTTGATTTCAGCTCAGGTCATGATCTCCTGGTTGGTCAGTTTGAGTCTGGCGCTGGACTCTGCACTGACATCGCGGAGCCTGTTTGGGATTCTCTCTCCCTCTCTCTCTCTCTCTCTCTCTGCACCTCCCTGGCTCACGCGCCTGTGTCTCTCTCAAAATAAACTTAAACAAATTTAGGGTTAAATTATTTCCTTTCCCTGAGTATTCTTTGAATAAATTCCTATTAGTCAAATGCCTAATAAAGTGCTAAATTGATAAATTAACAAAGCCCTTCCTAGACTAGCTGGCTAATTCTGCACGCCTGATGTTCCCTTTCTCCGCCACCAGGTGACCTCACGATCAATCTCGCCACAACCTTGTCTACTAAGAGCCACCGGCGATATCTCGCGAGAGCCGTGGTTTTCTCCAACCTGTTTTGGACATGCGCGGGGCGTAGAGCTCTTTAGCCAGAGGGGCTTGATGGGTTTCTGTCAGTCTTCCTAGACTAGAGCTGTAAAAAGGCACTTAGTCCTTCCAGCAGCCTCGGTTCTCGCGAGACTTGCTACGCTGCTTGCCACCACCCCCCCCCCACCTGCGCCTGCGCAGATCTCTTCACATCAGAAGGTCGCGCTTGGAGGAAGTGGCGGCTTTAGGTCCCGTGGCCGTAGCCCCGTTATTACTTCTGTGAAGCTCCTCTCGGCTGCTTGCCGAGACACCCCGCAGCCAAG